TGTCTTTCGAAAAGATAAAAAGGAGACAATAGAATATTAATTAATTTCAATTTTTTGAACATCGCTTTATTTGAAATAAGGTGAGCAAAAATTTATTCACTAATTTTAACAAATTTATGTTAATTTCGTATTACTATTGAGGTTAATAATGGTATTGATAGCTCAGACTTGTGGAACCCATCCCACTACCACTGCTGAACTGAGAAATTTCGTTCACACTCAGGCAATCTTGAAGGTGCTCCATAATACTAGTCTCGCAGGGAGCATTTGCGCTCTTGAGTGCAGGGACCTTCCAGCCGACCACCAATCAATAGTTGCTGCATTGTCTACTAAACCCTTAATTGTATTTAAATGACTAATCCTGGTGCCAGTTATACGCGACCATAATAAACGCTGCTCACATCGCACTCTTCATCTTTTTCGAAATCGTTAAAGTAGCTTGACTAATTAAGGGAGTCATTCCATTCTGGGGGTGGCGGGGGGGGGGAGGCATTTGGCCATACAAATTGCTGAGGTTTAGTCTAGGCTTACAGACTTATGGAAGAGGTAGTTACCAGCCAAGTTTTACTATAAACGAGTTTGCTATCTTCATAATTGTCCTTCATCAAGAAACGGAAGTCTGGACCAACCTACGTATCTCCGGACGTGACTACGCTATCCGCTTGAAAAAAAATGAAATCTTCAAGTTGCTTTCTTTCGTAAGCAAAAGCAGCAGTAGCAGTTGCACAAGAATTAGCAGCAATATGTACACGTAGGCGTTACCATTTTCCGAATTCCCCTCCCCCACCCCTCTGATTTCCAAATTTTTCTTATATTCGATGGTGGAACAACATTTCAGAATAGTACTTACTTCTTTATTGGATGGGGTAAGTTGAAAATTACTCATGTTGAATGAAGGATATATTCCGTTTTGAGGCGAATAGTAGAAAAATTACCTCATTTAAAGGAGCTTGACACAAGTCATTCTGCACAAAAGTTTACCTAAACCTAATGTTGGAAATTTATGATAGTCTCTGTTTAGTGATATTGAGTTTTACCCACTGTTAACTCAGTCTTTTACCAAAGCCATTAAGCAGGAAGCGGAAAACATTTTTAAAACTATCCTAGCTGTCAACCAGTTATCAGTGCCTTACATTCACTTGTCTGACCCTTTCGTATAGGCGTGATCGATGTTTGGACAGATTTAGTAATAACAAGAGTGGATTGTTTGGGTAAATGGAATATCCACAATTCTTCTGCTACCGCGTCTGTTCCCTGTGTCGATCATATGACCCGAAAAACAAATGAATTTGCCGCATGTCTTATAAGATTAAAGGGAGATTTCGCAACAGAGTAGCAAAGTAGACTTAAATGATTGAAGGGAGTATCATTAGTTCATTTATTAATAAATTTCGGAATTTTCGTTTTGTTTATAATTCATTATATTTTCAAGCATTTGAACAAAATAACTGAAACATTCTACACAGATTCCTAGGATTAAAGCAAGTTCTTGTGAAATTCATCGACGAGAAAATGTACAAGATCAACGAAAAGTTCGCAAGGAAAACTATGTGCCCATTGGACAAAATTCCTTCTAAGCTAAGTAATTTATTTCAATGGGGGCCATTGGTTAAGCCTTTTAACCAAAGAAATAACTGAATTAAACAAGCAGTAAATTAAGGAATGACGAGTGAAGATGAAGAGAGGGAAAGAAAACCAGTGGGGTTATTGATCCACCATATTAGCAGTAAGTAGATAATCGTAACGAATAGGTGCAAATTCCTGATCTCATTGTAAGTGAAGCCATATATGTGCTCCGGTTTATAAAAACATGCTAACTGTAAGCATTGATAATATTCACGTAGTATTTAAGAGATATGAGTAAATAAAAAATTGCATATTCTATTTAAGATGTTTAAATTAGGCAATAAGGGATGAATGTCAGTAATTGTCATCTGCTCTCTGGATATCGGAAGCGTCAAATGGCTCATTAGCTCATCAATCTATATCCGCATCAGGTGCTTTGATGTAATTTTGATTAAAAACTATTCGAGATTTCCAGGATTCAGTTTAGTTTTTAGCATTCCTGTAACCAGGAGCTAGACGTCCTTTAAAATGACTGTCAACGACGTAGATGACTAGTCATTCTGACTGTTGAATGTGTGATCTTAACACTTACACCTCAGATCGTCGACTTTGCAGACAAGCGGTTAAATCTACCTAATCAAAATTCTCTCTTCTGCTCCTCCTTTCGACTTTTTGACTTTGATGTCCCCTCCCCCCTCCCACTGTGAAGCCCGAAGTCAACTAAAGGGCAAATGATAACTATCATAAAGCTTTCTTCATGTAAACACATCCTGCTTTTAGACTTCTTATTTGATTCGAGTGGCTTATGAGCAACGACTCAAGTCCCACAACTCCAATCACAAAAAGGAAATGTGCTAGAAAGTAAGCCCCACTATCACTTACCCTAAGTCCAATATATTATTCAACTAGTTTATACAATTCTTTAACAAGTTATGCAGATATGAACAATGAAAATGTATTTTTCTTTATCATTTCCCGTCTGTCAAACGCTCATTTTGAACTTGAATTTGTCCATTCTGTTTAAGACCAACTTTGCTTCACAATGGAAATTTCTTGTTTTATTCATGTTTTAACCTTGGGAGCCTCTGAAATGGCCCCAAATTTTGAATTGAATAATATATGCAGAACTAAGCAATGTTTTCGATCCTTATCTTTTTGTGAAAATAATCATTGTTTAATTTAGAGATACTTATTTCATAATAAAAATATTTTTTTAATTCCATTTGAAAAGTTGCTATTTATTTTTTCTCTTCATGTTGGCATAAATATGCCTACCTATATTTAACTGCAGAAAAGCAAACAAATTATATTTTGTTTTTACTCAATTGTTTAGTCCTAAAATCTATCAATAACACTTTGAACATAAAATAAAACGGGAAACAGCATAGCAAACATTTATTAATTTGTTTATTAAATCACTACCCCTCATTTTTTGTTTATAGATAACAATTTGTGATTTGGAGGTCATTGAATGTCTTCATGAAATCATATTCTTATATTTTTCCCAATTATGAATTAAAAGCATAAAGGGGTGGGAATTCCCTAGAAAAATCCTTCCCCTTATCTAAAATTAAAATTTAGTTTGTATTATTATGCTTAACAAATAACTGGATGGAGAGTTTTCGTGAAATTTTTATTAAGATAAATCGTTCGAATCCCAATGGAAGTCATTGGTGTTATCCGTCTATGATAAGTTTAAAATGACATCGGTATCAATAAAATAAACTCGCGCTTAGAAGGAATTAGAGAAAATAGCTATATTTTGCATTATCGAATCGATCATCACTTGTCACATATGACTATCAGCAACAACTTAGTGTGTCCAGTTGTCCATAAGACAAGGGTTATTAAATGCCATATGCCCCTCTTAATTTTCGTTACTTTTAGAAACTTAATACTAGGCGATTAAAACAAGTCCCGAAAAGACCGCTTGTTATTGCCTGCAATAAAATTTTGGGGAAGAAATGAAGAGTGTAATAGCCTTATTGGCTTCCGAAATGGGCACTTTCCTACAGCCTCATAAATAATAATAAAATTAGCTGAAGCAAACTGCCCCGCTATACTCAAAACTCTGGAGCTTAATATATTGTAACTACTAGGCCATATTTATAATAAATTAATAATAAATAAGTAACTACCTTGACCAAAGGGATCTCATGTGCTAGAACATTCTGGTAAGTGCGAACGGAGCATGCATGGGGTGTCTAAAATGGCCTCCCAACCAATCACCTTGTCAATACCTCGTTACCTCCTATGATCTTGACAACGTGGACAAAGGCGGGCTAAGTTCTGAGTAATCTATACGAAACAACTCTGCTAGAGACTAGTTGAATATTTCGGAGAATTGTAAAGTTTACGCCAGTTCAGTTACAAGTACAAATTTCTAAATCAATCCACCCTATCCCCAGAATTATCATCTGGAAGATATTTTTCGATTGACTAAATGGCAAATCAAAGAATTGTTTTGATACCGTGGCTCGGTTGCCATTATTCTATATTAATGTTCGCGTTTTTATCTGCACTATGGGAGGAAATATTTGTAAAATCTGATAAGATATCGTTTTCAGATTTAAATTAGTGTTCATTCTAGAATTCAGGAACCGTTGGATTTGTGCCTTTACACCTTTTAACACCAGCTTGTTCACTGCCAATTCTTTTATAATCACTATTTTATACCGTTTTAGCTGAGGTCAGCTCATCTACTTTCAGCAATTCTTACTTTCTTCGGCTTTCTGTCCATCCTGAGAGAGCGGAAATTCCACATTATAATTTGGAATTTAAGTTATTTTTAAGGAAAAGAAAAAATAACCAGCCTTTTTTCGCTTTATTCTATCTTTTTCAATGCTTCCATATTTGTTATCTAATGCCTTTTTTTCTAAGCTAAAACATTCTTGCAGCATTGCAAATTACGATTTCTGGAAACATGGATTCTGGCCGTTGTGAGAGCTCATACTCAAGTCCTCGTTTTTAGTTGCATTCTCTGAAGTGGGTCACTTATATAGCCAGAATCTGTATTTCTATGAAATTGCCTTTCTCAACATAAATTATACATTGCATTTCCTCCAAGTATAACACATTTCTAAAATCACCAATTTGCTTGTGCACCAGCTGGTACAATTATTTCAAAACCAGCCTATTTCATATGCAAATTGAAACAAAAAATCTGAAGTAGTCTTCTAATGTCTTTTTTCGAGAGTTTGTAATAAAGTTTTGTATTTGCTTAATCTACCAAATATTTTCATTTTGATAACGAGGTTTCAATTTACGTATTATACAAATCCGTACTTAATGCTCTATTCTACATGATTTATATCAACCTTCAACCTTTAAATTCGGCAAAATGTAAGTCTTCGTTGAAGAAAGAAAAAAAATTAATTTCTCAGAATGGCAAGTTCAACATCGCCTTGCTTTGAGTTTGACTCAACGAAAGCTCTTCAACGATCGTCTGATCTTGAAAAGACACTTCCGTGTTCAAGTTGCCTAGCAATCTCATCAAACGACTTGTTCTTTGTCTCTGGCATCACGAAGAAGAAGAAAGTCCAACAAAGTAATACTACCACCAAGTAAGGAACGTAGACAAAACCAGCCATGACTTTCTGAAATGACAAAAAGATCCATTTAAGCAGATGTCTGTGGATATGTGGACGCTTCTATTGCTTAGTACTCGTTTTTCAAAATTCAGCACTAATTATAACACACTCCGTCAATAAGTTGTCTTAGTTTTTTCCCAATTGCCATTATAACAATAATAGTATATTAACTCACATCGAGAGACGGAAATGTGGCAAGAACCAAAAGATTGCACAGCCACTGGATACATTGGCTGACGGAATAGGCAGCAGTACGGGGTCCTTGACGGAAAATTTCAGCAACAATCATTGCAGGAATCGGACCTAGGCCAATTGCGAAACAAACGGTATAGATAAAGACCACAATGACGGCTAAAATAGCAAATGGTGGTTGATGTTCTGGGCTTAGTGAACGGACAATGGTTACAATAATAGTTTGGGACAAGAGGGCGGCAGCCAATACCAGAGTGGGCCATAAAAGTAAAGCACGGCGTCCAGCTTTTTCAATTAGAGGCAGCACAATGATAGTTGTGACCACATTCAATAACCCCAATCCAACAACGAAATACTCCAGGTATTGGGGATCCACTTTGGCAGTGTAAAACATTGACGATGAGTTCGCAATTACCTATTAACAATATAGATGTGAATTTAAAATAATATGTCTACTGAAATGTATTAAATAGTGTTAAAACTCACAGCGTTAATACCGGAGAGTTGCTGAAGCACTTGAATGAGAATAGCAATTGCTGTGGCTTTTCTATACTCCGGTTTTGTGAACAGATAAGAAATTTTGAATTTAGGCTCGTTCTTGACTTTAATCGCCTCTTCGTTCATTTCACTCACAAACTCATCCGCATTGTCGGCTCCGGTGATTCTCATATGCTCTTTGGTGGCCCGATCAACGTCTTTCTTAATAATGTATAGGTATCTAGCACTTTCAGGGCAGAATGGAAGCAGAACAAGACCAATAAAATGAAAAACTCCACCGATCATAATACCATAGGCCCAGCGTTCAGGGGTGTTGAGGAAATGACGAATAGTCGTTAAATAAGACACAAAGATACCGATTGTCACAAAAAGCTGATGAAAAGCTCCAATTAATCCGCGGATATTTCTGGGAGCGATCTCCAGAAGATACATGGAAGCAATGCCAATTGTTATTCCGGCATTGAGACCGCTGATGAAACGTCCGATGAATAGTACATAGATATTAGAAAGAAATGAACAGATACCACCCAATATTGAACCAATCAATCCAATCACCGTATTTAAATGAAGTCCATTTCTTCTTCCAATTTCGTCGGCAACAAAACCGCAACTAAAGGCTCCGATTGCTGCTCCAATAATGAAAAAGACACTTGTCAGTGAATAAGCGAATTCCAAGTCTAGATTGGGTATCGTTTGATTCATGAATTTCTTAATATTCTGATGGGCAAAAAATTCCACAGATACCAATTATTCGATAGTACAGAATACGACATTTTTCTATTAAGAATAAACGTAACTCACTTCTGAAGGTAAATTAATAATACCCAAATTGTAGCCCATCATAAATGATGAACTCAAGCATGTTATTAACGTTGCAAACACCAATTGGCCTGTAACTGGCTATGAAAAACAAGAAAATAATTGAAAATGAAAAAAAACTGTTTATAAATAGCATAAAATAATACTTACCATGACTTAAGATGCCAAATAAATTCGCGTACAATTCAAAAAATTACTTTGCCAAGACAATCGATCTTTTAACGTAGTGGCCGATCGATATAAATAACACGTTAGTATTCATAAGGAATTTTCGCGTTAATTATATTCGCTTGCTTAATAAAAGCAAGTATTAATAAGTCATAAAATCCTTTAAAACTACCTATAAATGGATGAGGGTGAAGTCAACTTGAAAGACCTCTAAATATAATAAGTGTGAACATCCTATTTTATAATTTGTATTATTTTGAAGCAGCCCTAGATATAAGCTCTCTGAGCACGCTTAACTTGACCAATTACCGTTAACAAAAGCATTTTTGCAAGGATTCTTCAAATACGATTTTTGAGAAGTGAAAAAAATCGTGATTAAAATGTAATTCAATGGGCAGTGAATGAGTTCTGGAGACCTTCAGTTTGTTATATCATTGCTGTCTTTTTATCTTACCTACAACTAAGATAAGTCAACTAGATCCAATATCGTCTATTCAAATTCACCATGGGACCAAAGACACAAGAATATGAAATATGTATTTTTGAACATTAGAGCCCTACACTAAGAACCATACTCCTGTTGATGAAATTGATAGCTCAGTGCACCCTATACTTAGAAATCATGGCTCATAATGCCCTTCTACTGGACCATTTACAGATAAATCCCTGATTCTGGAGAGCTTGTTACCTTCTGCTGAATATTTCATCTCCAAAGTTGGGAGTAAAGGGGAGTTGGGGGTGGGGGGTGAGGAGTTTGTCGCAAGATCGATGCCTATTCACTGATAATAATCGTCATCACCTCTGTTTGAAAATAGTTAGCTCGAGTTTTGGTGAAATAAGTGCCTTATGAACTGTAGAAAGTCTCTCAAATTCAAGGAGAATTAGGTAATGACGAAGAGGGGTAGAATAGATAGGGCGAACAGTGTGGTAATACGGGGGGAATCCTACGTCATTCATCTACTTTACAATTTAAAAGGTAGTGGTTGATTGTTTTGCTGTTTCAAATTTCATGGCTGGACCCGGAGGTTCTCAAGGGAACTAATTTCCTCAATTGTCAGAGTTCTGATCTGTTGTTAACTTAATTTGGTCAATACCCTTTTTAAGATACATATTTTATACTGATTTGAGATAATTACCCAATTATTGAGTTTGGTAATTAGTTTAATCAATTAAAACTAAAATTTAGTCATTTAAATATGAAGTAAAATGTCCCTGCGGTTCGAATAGTTTTTTTCCATTCTTTAAATTTACTTTTTGATCTGCGCTTTTATTAAAATATAGTAGACCAATATTTTGTTTTTATTAAATCATGAAAATCCTTGCATACTATCGTCACACACTATGCTGAATCATAATAGTACCCTCATTGGAAATATTATCGAAGAAACGACTACCAATGTAAAAGCGAAGCTATCTCTACTACGTGATTATGGAGACATGCAAAACGCAGTTGACGAGGAGAATTAAACGGAAGTCCAATTTCCTAGTTCAATAATGAGGTGATTTGACACAAAACTACAGTGTTTTAACAAATCAAAGAGTAAACTTCGTTAGCTTTTAACTGGGTAAGATCGATCATGCCCTAAGTAAAATTGAAGTTTTTAGCGTCTCTTGCTGCCCAGTTTGAGTGAGTCAAGCAATTGGGTTGGCAAACTGCTAATCTACTGCCTTGAGTACCTTGAGTCACTCACTAACAACCGAATTCATAAATACTCGAAATAAATCAGGAATATAATTGGATGTGGAATAAGTCCGTTTTTTTCAATTGCATTTGTGAGACTCCTATGTAATTCGAGAAAGCTGACAGGAAGAAAGTCGTAACCCCCCCCCCTCTTATTTGAGTTTCTTAATGAGGAAATTCGTTTGCCAATTTAAATCCGTCCTTAATCTGTATTAAATTGCCTGCAACGTTTAATCACTTTAAGCGCGAATCTTGCAACAGCTGTTTCAACTTTATCCATAACGAGGTTCCCCAATTCCGTCAAAACTTGGCTTTCATTCAAAGTTTCGCAAAAACAAATTTGAAAAGAGCAAATGCAAACTCTGCGAGACAGTCCGTGTATGACATTTTGACAATTCTAAAACGATTGGATTTCAGTATTAATTGGCATATGTGCATATTTATATTTTTATTGCCAGTCTCAAATCTTAGTTAATAGTAGTCACAATATTCACCTGGCTGCATAAGTCTATAATTTTTTAATTGTTAATTTTGACTCAAAATATTCTCAATCCAATTTACCTACGTTTCTTTAGAGAAGTATTGATAGTAACCTAGTAATAGTACTATTAAAAAAGTAATACATCCATAATTCAAACAAGATATCCATTATACATCAATGGAATATCAATCTCTAATGCTCATGCCTTTGGTCAAGTGGTTTGCCATTATCACACTTTATGAAAGCCTCGACAAGACAATCACTTCATTTGCGCACCGTCTATAGTGAATACTTAAAATTTGCATTGTACGTGTTAATATGCGTCTCTGAATTCATGTCTAAAATATGTTAATTTAAATTTACCCCGGTGGCATCGTGGTTAATACGTAAATCTGTCCAGCCGAAATACTCGCACGCCGTGTGGTAGCCAAACGGGCTAGTCGAGTCGGGCTAACAAGAGAGAGAGGGGGGTGGGAAATAGGTTGAGCTTAGGGTGAATTTCTGACTAGACTGTCTCCGAAATACCTTCTCTCTCGATCCAATTTCGGTGATATTTGCACTTCTCTATTTTATTAAAATAGAAACATCCTACGATATCAGGCACTTGAGAGAGTTTTTGCAATAGCTAGATTTTGAACAAGTAGGCGTATTCATCACCAAAATAGAAAGGGTAGTTTATAAGTGCAATTCTTTAGAAATTATACAAACTGAAATTGTGGGAGCGAGCGAGAGAGAGAGATAGAGAGTACTCTGCGAACCAAACGCACACAACGTAGCTTTCTGAAATTGTAACGCTGCATTTGAACTATTGGTGCAAATTAAATTGGGCTCTCTTGATCTTAAGCATAATTTGACTATAGCTTGTATATAATAAATGCATCTTTCCATTTCATCCTATTTTAATGCCCACCATTTTACAAAAATGAGATATAAAATAACTGTAATCTCACGTTAGGCTACTTCATGAGATAATTCAAATTAGACCCGATATTTATATTAAATGGCATTGTGATAGTTATCATTGGCCCTTTAGTTAACTTCAGGATTCACAGAGGGGAAGGACATCAAAGCCACAAAAGTGGAGGGGGTGGAGAATAGAAGAGTGATTCAAAGATGTAAAAGAGAGACAGTCACAAAAGGTAAGGTAAGGTGAGTACTGTGAAAGGGGTCGAATATGACATACAGTGGGATCATGGTAGTTTGAAGTGAGAAGTCAACTACCGGTTAATAGACTTTTTTGCCCTATGAGTATACGTTGCCCAGGATGCACCACGTGGAGCTAAGTCTATCTGACACCCCAATTTGACCAGCCATGCCCTCATAGAACTGGAGATTTGAGGGGGGGGGGGGGTGGGAGGGAGGATTGGAAAGGACGATAAATGAAGCGGAGTAAGAGTGTAAAAAAAACGTACCAAGTCAGTCAGTACTATCTCTCTCCTCTGATTATAAATACTAAAGCTATTTTATTATTCAGATTTCTTGAAAATGAAAATGTGAAAATCATTTATATTTTTCCATGATCAAGTTAGCCGGTTCAAGGAATTTCTTCCCCTTAAATAAGACATGACAAACTTGTTTCACAGATCAATCCAGAGTAGATCTTATATAAATGGATGTTATAAATGCCAGAACGCGTTCAGACAAATAAGATGACAAGTGTCGAAGGATGGACACCGTCCTGCCTGACACTGATTCGATCTAGTCAAACATTGGTGAACATGTCTAACCTAAAAGAATTTCCTAAACATATTGAAAGAAAAAGATACAGGAAGCACTTGCAGCAAGAAACATCCAACACCATTTTAACCAATCATAGTAAAGACTGGCCTAGTCAACATCTCATGTGTAATATGTGCTTAAAGAAAGTACATAAATGAACGGAATATCATCCATGAGATTCGTAGTTTGTTGTTTCGGTTCCCCCCAAAAAGACACAACTTAGCACTGGTTTGATGGTTGTATTTGTGAAGCTGAATTACGTGCCTCAGTTCGTTATGCCTCTGAATCATAATAAACCAGAATTGCTGATTGTCATCGCAACACATTTTGACTTCTGCTATGGGCAGTAATATTGGTAGGTTATGATATCAAAGTCAGATATCGAAAGACTTCTGTATTCAGTCTAGATGGCTGTTTATCTCGGTCATAGAAAAAAACAAAGACAAGTATTGTATATTCCGTCTAATTGTATGCGAGTTCAACTCCAACTGAGATGGGGTGTGCGATAGACTTACCTCCACGTGGTGCACTCTGGGCAACGTATATTCATACGGCAAAAAAGTCTATAAACCGGCAGTTGACTTCTGAGTTCAAGCTATCATGGCCCCACTGTATGCCATATAAGACCACTGTCACAGTACTCACCTCACCTTTCATCTACCTTTGTGTCTGTCTCTTTTACATCTTTAAAGCACTCTTCTGTTCCTCACCCACCCCCCTCGACTTTTTTCGATTTGATGCTCCTTCCTATCTGTGAAGCCTGAAGTCAACTAAAGGGCTAATGATAACTATCATAAAGCCTGCCATTGGATATAAATAAATAAACTCCAACTGAGATCAAAACTAAAGTAAGCTTCGGTGGAAGACTCAATCATTAAAAAGGTCGTGAAATTGATGAACACTAAATTACTTTCATCATATTTAAAAGGACACCTGTTGGATTTATTCCATGTGGAAATGCCTTAAATGCTTTAAATCCCAACACTGTGCGCACTCAAAGGGTCTATCACCAACTTCATCCAAGAATAAATTGAAATTAAATATCGCTCAGAGAATAACCATACCTGTCTTAAATGGAGGAACTCTGTCTTAAATGGAACTCTG